TTGTGCCCCTTGTTAGCAAACTCAGTCTGTGTAGAAATGGCTAGGGATGTCCTCTTAGGGTTGAGGTTTAAGAAAAGCTTTGTTCCTCCTAAGAGACTCATATTTTTCCTTCCATGATAATTGAATGTCCATAAAATAAAGCTCAGAACTATGCTGTAGCTTAAGTATATTAACTGTTTAGAACAAATTATCTGAATTTTCTGTTCCCCTCCCCTCCCCCCAACATGGTCCAGACCTCCAATCAAATCAGCATTTTCTGAAGCAGTTTTTCTTTATTTTTATTCTATTATCTAGTTCCTACAATGTACTTCAAATGCTTTGTGAAATAAAATAGAATGCTTAAATAGAGAGAGGAGAAAGGCAGGTGGTGGGGAGGTTAAGCGGGTCTGCATCAAGATCCAGACTCAACAGCCTCCAAGCCACACAGGCAGCTTAAGGGCATTAAAAAGAGCCTGAGGTGATGCATGCATGGCACATGCCTTTAATCCCAGCACTCAAGAGGCAGAGGCAGTTGGATCTCTGCGAGTTCATAGCCAGCCTGGTCTACAGAGTGAGCTCCAGGACAGCCAGAGATACTTAGAGAGACCATGTCTCAAAATAAGAGAAAGAAAGAAAGAAAGAAAGAAAGAAAGAAAGAAAGAAAGAAAGAAAGAAAGAAAGAAAGAAAGGGAGGGGAGGGGAGGGGAGGGAAGGGAAGGGAAGGGAAGGGAAGGGAAGGGAAGGGAAGGGAAGGGAAAGGAAAGGAAAGGAAAGGAAAGGAAAGGAAAGGAAAGGAAAGGAAAGGAAAGGAAAGGAAAGGAAAGGAAAGGAAAGGAAAGGAGGGAGGGAGGGAGGGAGGAAGGGAAAGGAAGGAAGGAGGGAGGGAGGGAAAGAGGGAGGGAGGAAGGGAGTGTCCTAGGTGAATAACAGAGGGCCCTAGTGACTCTACTTAACCAGAGTGTCCAGCCCCTGCTTGGCTCTAGTAGATGACACCCTGGTGAGAATTTGAAACTCAAGATTTTCCAGGAGAAATCAGAAACACAAACTTTGTCATGGATTTCTTGTCTATAAACATTAGCAACTAATTTTAAATGTATTTTATCTATTTCATATAAAGTATGAGCTTCTATGTATTTCTTACAAACAAAACCTCTCTTTGAACTTCATTCAAGCTAAGGATCACAATTTTGCAGTCTCAAAATGGAATGGAATGAATGTGTGGACATAAAGTACAACCCAGATGCCCCCTCTGCCAAACACACACACACACACACACACACACACACACACACACACACACACACACACACACTCTTAAGAAACTGTATTCTAAGCAAGGGAGGAGGTGGTCATAGTTTTGGGTCATGGCCTTTGTCATCAGCTAGAGAAGATACTTCACTACCAGATGTACCCCCGAGGTGTGGGTCCTCAGTGCTCAGTTTGAGGATCTGACTTGTACACAGGCATGACATTTGTTAGGAGCAGGAGCACCTCAAGGCTGTCCCAAAGCAACTTACAGTCTGTGCTCCAATAAGTAGAAGCCACTGTGGGGACATATGGAAACCACATCTGATGGCAGAGTCCTGGACTGGCTGGAATCAATATCCAGCTTTGTCACTGTTGGCCTATGTGACCCAAACCTCAGACAAAAGGAGTTAGAGCTTGGGATAGATCGACAATAGAAGACCTTTGTCTGGACTCTGTTTATTTAAAAGTTACAGAACTCACTGGAGATATAGGGAGGCTTGATACAATACAGTTTTTCTAAGAGAGTCTAAAGTTTTCATTCATCCTATACCCAGAACCACCCCAAATCATTTACTCAGAATCATACACTGTTTTGTCTGAGATTCCTCGCTGTAGCATACTCTACAATTTATTGTTCTGGCTCACGTTCACTCCCGGTAGAAGACATTCATCACCTTGTGGGTCACTTGTAGCTAGAAAATCACCTTCTCTACTAAGATAACTGACTTCTAAATATCAGGCACTAGACTCCTCACCCCCACCATACACAAAGTCACATGAAAGCAGTTAACAGATTTCTAATAGAACATTACAAAGAGAAGATAATTCTCATGGATTTTTACCAAACAGAAATTTCCATAGCATTAACCTCAAGATTAGTTTTGATTCAAACTCAATCTGACTTAATAATTAGTTTATCATCTTTAATCATGAAAATAATAACAAGCACATAGGGTTTTGAAGACTCACAAGAACCAAAGTGGTAAGGAGGCACCCTGTGTGTTAATTCTGGTTTTGTCTAACCAGGGAGCTGGACCAGTGTCCTCTCTCTATTGGTTCTGTCTAGAGACATCCAGGGAATCCCTGAGTGGCTACAGACGATGTAAAAATCACCCTTCCAAAATTTCCCCTGCATATATTCACAGTGGCCCAGAACAAAAAGGCTACAAGGTGGTATGGAAGAGAGGAATGTCCAAATGTGGGCAAGTCTAGACAGTTGCAAAAGCTGTGGACAAGTTCAATTATTGTTTTCCAATCAAAGGCCATGACTCATGAGGGTCACAGTGGCACAGGTCTGCCAGCACTAAAGTACATCTCACGCCAGTCAAAGACAGCCCTGCCTCACGAAGCTTTACCTCCAAATTGTTGCATGCATTTATCGCTTATACTGTTACATAAGTTACATTTTTACTTACTGATTTAAGCACCTAGTATCCTTAAGTGTCCACTTCCCTACATCTTGAGCCTCAATGACCAGAATTTCTTCTGTCACGGATATGACCACAGACTGATTATTAGTGAAGGGTAAAGCCAGAAAGCAAAAGCTTGGGCATCAATAACTGAGTATTCACAGCCTGCAGAATCTCTTTAATCTGGAACTCGATCCTGCCTCCCACATAGCAAGCCTATCATTGGTTAATAAGGAATGACTCTATCTTAATAAAGTCAGTTTAATAGTTGGTGTCTCAATAATTATCACTTTTTAAGCAAAGTGATGAGAAGTGAAAGCTCGTTCTGAGTTGAAAAAAAATTCTTTAAATGTCTGCAAAGAAATTCCCTTAGCTTATAAGGAATCCAGCCAGTCACAGGGAGATTAAGAAATAACACAATAACACACACACACACACACACACACACACGCACACGCACACGCACACGCACACACACACGCACATACACACAGGGAGACAGACAGAGAGAGAGAGAAAGAGAGAGACTCTATTCTTCTGGGTCAGATATACATCTGCAGGTAGACACCTTTACAACATATAGTTTTCTATTTTCCAAAATATAATTTTCTATTTTCTTATTTGTATTTTAATATAATTTTGCTGATTCTTCTTCCTTTGCTAGGGCTACCTGGGCATACCCAGTGGATCTCTGAGGGGCAATATGTAGAGTATATTGTAAACATCTAGAGCCCCTTCGTAAGTTTCTTCAGCTATACGAAGCTAAAGATATGCGCATTTTTGCGCCAGGATGCCCCTGCAGTTGATTTCTTAGGATGAGTTTGAGGTCTCGTGAGGCACCTGCGGGGTTTCTGCATTACACTTATGGGACTTCCCTTTTCCATTGCTTTTCTTCCTGGGCACTGGCCCTTTGATTTACACGAAACCTTCTGCAATCAGGTAGCTGGTACTTAACTCATTAGCAAAACTAACAATAATTAAAGGCTCGCTAAGAATTATAAGGAAATTGGCCACTTGCCACAATGTAACATAAACAGAGTATCTTATTTATTTTGAATCATTATCTGCCTCCATCCCAGAAGAATTAGGTGATGTGTGTTACCCAGCACGTAAGAAAGATAACAATTAGCTTCGCTGCCACATTATTGGAGCTTTACTCTAACATCCATTACCGCTGGGACTCTGCACAAGATATAAATTTTGATGGATTTGTTTGCATTGGGATTTAAGTACCAAAGGAGAAAGTGACAGCAGCAGAGAAAATCTGGTGCAAAGAGCCCACCCCTGATTACAGAGTGCCTGCCGTTGTAGCACCTGCTCGCCCTGTCCTGTGAGACAAACCCAGCCTGCCTCTTGTCTGACTTACCGTGGGGCAGCGTGGTCTGCGTGTTCCCAGCCTGCCATCTCACCCCTGTTTTCATCAGGCGGGATCTGGAATTGTTCAATATGTGGATTGGCGGATACCCGTGTGACCACAACGGGCAGAGTAGGGTGGATGGTAAATGATCCTCAACTGGAATGAATTCACAGAAAGCATTCTGCCAGGGCCCAGTGGAAAGTACCCACTCATCCCTGCATGAGGCTAGACTCGTGGCAGCGCCATTGATGGATGAACTTTGACTTGCTTGGAGGGAAGATAAGCAGATTCAGCTGACAGGCACTTTGTAAACCGACCATTAGACCTCCATTTCAGTGCACATTCTGGAAGTTGAACCTCTACTACCCACGACTATTTGTAGAGCCTTCCAAATACCCTCAAAACCTTTATTTATACAAAGGCACACAGACTGAAGTCACTTCCCTAGTACTGAAGGATATCTAGCAGATATTATAAAACAATACCCTACATGTCACATTTCACATACCACAGTTTGGACGTTCTACTAAGCCTCCCTAGCATCTCCCTTGCCAGCTCACACAGTGAAAATGTATCCTTTTTAAAAGCAGGTGTGATTTGTCCCCCTTACTATTTGGAAGCTTTCCTTCTGCTCTGTTCCCCGTGTCTCTACATAGAAAGCAGTGTCCATGGGCATTGATTTGAATATGCAAAGAAGGCCATTTGAAAGAGAAGACGGTTTTGTGTGGAAATTTTGAAGATGTGTTTTAAACACTTCTGCCCTCCTCTCCCTACCTCAGATGCTGATGTTCCCTCCCCTTTGTGTCCGTCACACCTTCAGTAACACAGTGGACAGACTGTCGGCCAGCAAATGGGCGGGGAGTGGGGTTCAAGGCCCAAGATTATCTGCAGTGTGACCCAGCCCAACCCAAAGTCCCAGTTCCCAACATCACTCTTTCAACAGCTCAGACGATGGTCTGACAGAGACCAGGGAGGCCATGCTCTGACATCATTCCCTCTGCTTCCAGACAAAATCGAGGATGAGCTAGAGATGACCATGGTTTGCCACCGGCCTGAAGGACTGGAGCAGCTTGAGGCCCAGACGAATTTCACCAAGAGGGAGCTGCAAGTCCTTTACCGGGGATTCAAAAATGTAAGACCCCCCCCCCCCCAGAGGCTCTGAGGCTTGGTATGATTTCCCACATGGCTAAGCTCTTCTGGAGCCAAGGGAGTCCCCAGAGTGCAGAGGTTCAGGGAGGCCACCACTGTGGACCGGCACGGGGTGAGAAAGTAGGCTTGCAGAGGCCAAGGCCTCAGCAGACAGGAATGTCACCCACTGCACGGAAGTGCTGCAGGGTGGTGTGACCTCAGAGAAGCCCTCCCAGCCCAGGTGCTAACCCTAGCTTAACATTCACATTTTACCCTCTGTTGGATGTCCAACAGTGAGGGGATTGGGCTCTACTGATCTGTGCTAATGAGGCCCACAAAGACTGGTATATAAGCCTGAATGTCATGGCACTGTGTTTATTTCTCCCGAAAGTCAGGACAGTGAGACCAGACGTTCCTCCCCTCCTGCTGGAAACTTCTCCTTCTGTGAGCCTCACAGAAAGCCAAGTTCTTCGCAAAGGAGCATGGGAGGAAGGAAGTTCAAAACTGACACACACTTGAGTCCACCCCTGCTTTCTGGGCTGCTTTGGGGGCTCTCGCATGCCAGTCTGGATAAGGAGCTTGGGCTTAAAGCTTACATCTCAGAGCACAATCATATTCCCGAATCAGTGAGTGGAACAGAGCAGAAGAGGTGTTCTGGTCACCTCCCTCTGGGTGCAGCCTACAGGTGGAGTTTGGTCAACTGCCCTACGGCTCGACCATGCTGGTCATGTGACTGCTTTCTATGCTGGTCATGTGTCTGTGCTACCGTTAGCCTTTCTTCCTTCCAATGTTGAGGAGGCCATGTTAATAGTGGCCAGCTGAGTTGGAGCAGAGGCCTGGGAGGTTGTTGCCCAGTTGGGCACTTGGCTGAGAGGGGAATAGAAAGGAAAAGAAAATCCACAGTATTTTTGGGCATCTGCCATAGTCTCAGTACCACCTAATACTGCTAGCTCTTTTGGGAGGAAACTGTTAGCCATGTTCCATGGGTAAGTGTGTTCGAGATCATAGGCTGCCTTGGACAAAGTCACGAAGCTTAGAACAGGCTTAACCAGGATCTGAACCTAGACCTTCCTAGCCCTAACATCAAGACTCTCCCAGCACAGTACCTACCCTGTGGTGACTTCCCATCTCTTGCAAAGTAGCTTTTCATGGCGGGGTTACCTCCAAGATCCCCCCGGAGATACCCAGTGCACAGGTATTTGTCCAGTCTCTGCCCAGGAGAGAGCATGAGGAACCTGCACAATCTCTACCCTCTAGTACAGCCTCGCAGCCATCCCCCACTCACTCGCTCTCCACTCACTCGCTCTCCCCTTCACCCAGGAGTGCCCCAGCGGTGTGGTCAATGAAGAAACATTCAAGCAGATCTACGCTCAGTTTTTCCCTCACGGAGGTGAGTATATCTGTGGGGAAAATCCTCCCAGCATCCTCTCCAATGATCAGCCATCCCTTCCTCCACCTCCCCTATCCTTTGTCTCTGTCTCCCTTGGGGTTAGAATTTATGCCAAGATTTTTCCTTACTACAAAATACAGAATTCTCTGGGGGGTAAAAATGAACCCACTCCAGAAAAGGAAGGGTTGTCGGTGCAGTGTTGGAAAGTCTCATAGCAGTTCTAGAAAGCAGGTGTCATGCTCCCAGAAGGAACGGTTGAGTTTCAGAGATGTTAAGCAATTTACTCAAGATCACACAGCTTGTATGTGGCAGACCAGGAACAGAAAGTATATGGGACAAAAGCTTCACCATTTTGGTTCCTTAAACAGCTTAGACAGGTTCAAATTTTGTAAACAACATTAATAAATACTGCAGACCATAAAAATCAATGAACCAAAATAAATTGTGGGCAGCGTGACATTGTACTCATTTATAAAACCAGGTTACTGAGGGCCTGGGACCCCTACCACCTGCCCAGTTGGGAACAGCTCCACATATCAAGGGACCCTTCCTCTTGTGACTTTCTTATGTCACCTGTCCACAGGTGTCACTTGACAGGTGCAGAACACCTCTCTGGGTTCTAACAAAATAGAGTCTCAAGTGACCACATCCTTCTTGGGCCCTGTCTATCATGGGCCTTTTCGGACTCACACAGGTGTCTCCCTGGTGTGGGTCTCTGTGTTGGGGAGAAGAAGCTTCATGTCATGCTAGCACCAGACTCCCAGTTTATGAACGCCATAGAGATGCTGTTTTCACTATATGGCAGGGAAGGCTCCAGTTTAATGTATTTCTCCACATGTTTCAAGAGCTGGTTCTTCCCCCATCTCTCTCTACAGAGATGTGGAATGGATTCTCAGAGATGCCCCGTTAGATGTCTACAGGCACAGCTCTATGGAGATATCTTTGATCCAAGTGCAGGTCTCTCCTCGCAAGGGAATGCCCATACCATGGCAAGGACCACTTGCTCAGGACATTTCACTTCAGTCACCATGTTATCACCTCCAGAGAAACAGGTCACACAGAGAAACAGGCAGGGGAACCATTCTGAAGATGATGAAGTAGAGAGAGTCGAGGACCTACCTAACCTTTTGCTAGAACTAGCGTCTAACCTAAACTCCAGGGGCTGAGCAAACAGGTCTCCATCCATCCCCCCTCTCTCTCTCTCTGGTCCCATCCCTGCTTGTTTTCCAATGCCGTCTCTGCCTTCTGTGGAACCCCCCCCCCCCTGCTCACCCGCCTTTCCTTCTACCTTGCAGATGCCAGCACATATGCCCATTACCTCTTCAATGCCTTCGACACCACCCAGACAGGCTCTGTGAAGTTTGAGGTACAGTCTGGGTATCCCCTGGTTCCACATTGCCTCTCCCTCCAAATCTGGGGATCCCGGAGAAAATGGTTAATTGTCAAGAAACTTTACTCCTTTAACAAGCATCACCTGAAGATAGAGAAGGGACTTTCCTTGCCCTCTAGACATGGGGGAGTAGGGTTGTAGAAACAACTTAAGTGCTCCCTTATGCTCTGCATGCTGAGTGGTAGCCTCTGGATCTAGCATTTTACATTTATTAACTTGTTTAACTTCTATAATAATGCTATAAGGTAGGCTTGGATTATCATTTTACAGAAGAAGAAAATAAGGCAGAGGCCAAGTAGCTTTTCCAAGGCCAAAGAGAGAGTAAGTGGCCAAGGGGGCTTTTGAACACAGACAGTATATGCTTCCTCAGCCTGGATCATAGCCACTGGAATGCACAGTCCCTCAGACGTTAAGCAACCATTGCAGCCACAGGTTAGGATCAACTGTGGAAGCTGAATTAACTGCCTAGGGGTCTCCATCCATACAAAGCTCGAGTCTTCCTCAAGGGGCATCAGAAACTACAATGATGAGGGTGTAGGGAATGGAAGACAGACGTTCTTTGCTGGCATTGGCCATTTCCATCTAGCTGACGGGATGATAAGGGGGCAGGGCACCATTTTGTAAAAACACCATGGTCTGGGGGCCAGGCTTCTCTCCACCCACACAGTGGCTCAGAGGTTAATTTTGCTTCTGCCTTTTCCCCTTCTTAGGACTTTGTGACGGCTCTGTCTATTTTACTGAGAGGGACAGTCCATGAAAAACTAAGGTGGACATTTAATTTGTATGACATCAATAAAGACGGCTACATAAACAAAGAGGTGAGTGCCCAGAAGAGAACAGAGGGTTCTTTAAGGAGTAGGTGACAACCATCAGATCTCATTAGCCAAAGCCTGTTCTGCCTGACAAAACCATAGAAGGGAAGATTGGGGAGGGGTGGGCAGCTGTCTCAAAAATGAAAGAGAGAAAGAAAGAAAGAAAGAAAGAAAGAGAGAGAGAGAGAGAGAGAGAGAGAGAGAAAGAGAGAGCGAGAGAGAGAGAGAGAGAAAGAAAGAAAGAAAGAAAGAAAGAAAGAAAGAAAGAAAGAAAGAAAGAAAGAAAGAAAGAAAGAAAGAAAGAAAGAAAGGAGGGGGAGGGAGGGAGGAAGGAAAGAAGGAAGGAAGGAAGGAAGGAAGGAAGGAAGGAAGGAAGGAAAGGGAAAGGAAAGGAAAGAAAAGAAAAGACAAGACAAGACAAGACAAGACAAGACAAGAAAAGAAAAGAAAAGAAAAGAAAAGAAAAATCCCAGAGGATTTCAGGATCTTCACTGCTTGACCCTTAGAGCCTCAGTACGTGTGTTTAGTCAGGAACTGCTCATGGTCTGTCATTCAAGTCACCAGAAGTCTGATGTAAATTGGTGTGCCGTTGGGGCTTAACATTAACATCTGGAGCATCTTGCTGGGCTTCTGTATCTAGACACGATGCCTAGAGCTGTGGAGATTGCCTCTGACCCTGAACTCTGCAAGGTTCTCCTCTCAGATACATAATAGCCAAGTTCCCTAGTCATCCAGCCATGTGGGCGCAACATGGATCTGAGAACTCGGTCAGTGTTCTGGGTGCTGGAGATCAAACAGCGAACGACTGTGGTAAAGTGGAGCGGTGGGATGAACAACAGCAGCAAAATGGAGAGGGTCGGGTAGATGTTTGAGTCAGAGTCGGCAGGGGCCTGTCTAAGAATGCACTGCCATACCAGGACCAGTCACCCCAAAAGCCAGAAAAGTGCCCCAGGCAAAAGTAAGAGCCATTAGAGGGGTTCTCAGGGAAAGTGGAGGTCCATGTGCCCTCCAAACAGAAAAGCTTGGTGGTGGCTGCAGGCTGGGGTATGAAGAAAAGGTCGTCAGGTTCACAGTGAAGGTCGTCAGGCCCAGGCCGTGGAGGACTGGAGTAGACAGCCCGCTCTACCTACTGGGAGCTGCTGGTACAAAGCAGAAGTCTTGAGAGACACTAGTACTAAAGGTGGTTCAAAGTCAGCAGGAAAATCTGAATAGCTTCCCGTCACCAAGAGGAATAAAATTCACATGAAAAATCCTGGGAAAGTTTCAGCTCCTCAGATGGTTTTCTGGTTACTTCTAACACAAACCCTACAAAACTGAGGCAGAAGGAACTTCCCAACTTTTTTTTTTTTTAATCTAACTATACACTACTCTCAAACTAGAAATAAATAAGGTCTTATAGAGAAGACAACTGTCCTTAGTTCCCATGATTACAAATGCAACAAGTTTTATGTAAACATTAGCAAACTAAACACATTAATACATTAAAAAATACAGTGTCATGTAACCAAGTAAGGTTTATTCTAGGAATACAAGGTCGGTTGAATACTCAAAAATCCATGTCATTCACTATATTTACACAATAAAAAGAAAAAGTATATTGACTCACTAAATACAAAAAAAAAGCACTTGACAAAATTACTACTCATTCACAGTAAAGTTTTTAACAAAGACTAGAAGATTTCTTTCTCAGCCTAATAGCTGATAACTGGGGGTTTTTTAATCCTATGGCTAACATCTGCTCACTAGTGAATACTGTATACTGTCAAGGTCAAGAATTAAAGAAGGAAATGAGGCAAGAAAAAAACAAAATGAGAAGAAACCAAAGTGATCTAGATTGGAAAATAACTAAATTTTTATCTGTAATAAGCTTAAATTCATGGAAAATCCTAAGGAAACTCCAGGAAGCTACTAGAAAGAATCATGAACGTATTTATCAAGGTAGCCAGATAGAAATTCTATTTTTTTAAAAAGCAATATATACTATGTTAGGAAATAATTCCCCTTATGATAGTACCCATATACACAAATATTTTTGATAAATTCAATAAAACTGATGTAAGATTTATACATAAAAACACAAAATATTGCTGAAAATTGAGGCCTAAGTAAACAGATGTGCCATGTTGGACTACGCAAGATATTAAAATGGAGAGTCCCAAAAATCCAACTTGTAGACTCAGTGTAGTCACAACCAAAACACCCAGCAGACACTTTGAAGAAACTGATAAATTGATCTAAAATGTATATGGAAATACAAGGAGCAAAACAACCCAAATGAACCCACCTTATTTCAAGATTAACATAAAAGAGAGTAATGAATAGACTGGAGACTTGGTGTCGTGATAGACTCAGCTTACCAGATCAAGATGAATGTCCAGAAGGGGCCCGGGACTGTGGCTCAGCTGCACAGCACTTGCCTAGCAAGTGTAAGACCCTAGGTTTGATCATCTCCTGTAAATAGACTTGTCCATATTGTCATTTCAAAAAAGATACCACTGAAGCCAAAGAGAATCCAACAACATCTTGAACAAATGATTCTGAGCCAACTCCACATCTATCTGAAAATAAAAATGGTTCTTAGCCTTTACTTCATGCTGAAAGCAAAAATTACACGAGGTGGATATACACACAAACATAAAATCAAAAGCCATTGTAGTAAAGAATGCATAGAAGAAAACATCCTCACTACTTTGGAGTAGGAAAAAACAGTTTAGGACATATGATAAGAGATCACAAAAGAAAATTTGATGTTTCTCTTCATCAAAGCTACCATTTTCTGTTCTCAGAAAACGCCACTAAGAAAAGGAAATGCAAGCCATAGAGTTGGGGAGATGGCTTGCAAATTATTATTAAGTGACAAAAGGCTGAGATGCAAATAGATAAGAAATACTTGTATTGTTATAAGAAGGTAAATAAGCCCACTAACAACAGATAGTGAGGGGCTACCAAGATGGCTCAGTTAGCAAAGGCCTGATGACCTGAGTTCAAACCTAGAAGCAAAGCACTGACCTCTGACCTCTGACTCCTAAACTTGCACTATGACTTGCATGTCCCAACACACTAAATAAATAAACAAATAAATAAATGTTTAAAATACAATAATAGTAATACAATGAAATTTTTAAATAGATTTTTAAAAGTTAAACAGATACTTCAGAAAATATTAGTAAATGGACAATACAGCCAGCTAAAATGACCCCATATCTCTAATCTTCAATGAAATACAGATTTTTTTTTTGTTTTTTTGAGACAGGGTTTCTTTGTGTAGCTTTCGAACCTGTCCTGGAACTTGCTCTGTAGACCAGGCTGGCCTCGAACTCACAGAGATCCGCCTGCCTCTGCCTCCCGAGTGCTGGGATTAAAGGCGTGCACCACCACCGCCTGGCTGAAATACAGATTTTTTTAAGCTATAATAAACTATGACTATGCATGCATTAGAGAGACCACAAATAAAAAGAGCAACAATTCAAATGCAGGCAAAGATGAGGGACAGCTAGAAACACTGAGACACTACTAATGAGAAACAGTGCAAGCATTGTTGCCTAGGAAACATTGTAGCATCTTAAAATCGACATCCAACTACTGTACGACCCAGAGATCCCACCCCTACATATTTACCTAAAAAATGAAAATATGTAACTCCATGAATACCTACACGGAGATTGTCATAATACCTTTATCCACAATCGCCCCCAAACTGCCAGCAACCCAAATGTCTTTCAACAAGATGGCAGATAAACATATTGCTGTCTATCTATTCAGTGGGTGTTCAGCAGTGAAAAAGAAATAAATCACTGTCACGTGCAACTATAGGCACGGATTCTGTAGCCATTGTGTGCATTAAATATAGACAGGCTCAGACTTACAGTATCATTCCATTTGCATCAAATTCTAGAAAATGAAAATACCTTTAATGACCAAAGTTTCATCAGCAATGGCTTGATACCAGGGAGTTGGCAGGCAGTATAGAAACTTCTTGAGGTGATAAAAAAAATAAATAATGCAGGTGTTGAGTGTGGAGGTAGCACAGCTGTGTACATTTGCCAAAGTTTATCAAGTGAGACACTTAAAATGAGTGAGTCTGCTGTAATCAAATTATGCTCCCATAAACCCTACTTTTAAAGGGAGATCTCATTTTAAGATAGGGGTGTCTAGACAACAGGAAGTGCTCAAACGTGTTGAATGAAAAAAAATTAAAAACTTTGGCAAAGCATATAAAGGAAAACAAGACTCCAATCTCACTTAAAATACACACCACAAATTCCAAACGAAGCGCCAGGAAATTAATCCTAGCACTCTAGTTAAAGGAGCGTGCATGACCAGAAACAGGTTTATTGCAGAAGTAATTCAATAGTAGAGCATATCTATTAAATAATTCAGCACATCAGTACATCAAAAGACTAAACCATGTGATTCTAAAATCATATTCCATCAAACTTACCCTATATCCTTGATCATTTTTTAAACTCCTAATAAAATGGGAATAAAATACATCATGAGCATAATAGAATGTGCTCCAGCCTTCTGCACAGCTCTCCACTTCACGGTGACGTCTCAGATATCCTGGGCTCCAGGAGAAATGAAGACCAGTGTGCTTGCTGTTGACCCACACCATCTGTTCATACTTCTGAATGCTCTTCAAGTACAGTGGGTCAGAAGCACACACCTAGGACAGCCTTTGTAAATGGCATGCGTTTCTTCTATTTGTTTATTTGTTTGCAACAAGTCTCACACTGTAGCTCAAGATGACTGGAACACACTGTGTGGGCCTTGAACGCATGGTGACCCTCCTGCCTCAGCCTCCTTAGTACTGGTATTACAAGTGTGAGCCTCCATGCTCAGCAATGACATGACTTTATACTTAGGAAGAAAAAAGACAAGAGAAACTACTTAAACAGAACTAAGATCATGTCCAGCGACTAACACATGCCGAAATAAACTGGGTGGCCCATGTCTCAATTATGACTATTTAGAAAGTTGAAACTAAGATATTCCAGTTATGTAACAGTAAAATGTAATGTGCATGAGCATTTCAAAAACACCTATGATTTAGTTGAAGAAAAAGGTTTCTGAGAAAATGGAGGGAAAAAAAGGACTAAATGGAGATGCTCTCTGTTTTCTGAAGGGAAGTCCATTGTGAAGACGGCAATATTGTAAAAACAGCTATTTGTCTCTAACTAATTTAAAATTTATTTGTTTGTAACCAAAATAAAATTATTGTTTGGGGGGAAAAACTGCCACATTGGGAAAGTCACCAGGTGAAAAGAGGAAAGATCATTTTCAAAAAGCGGAAACAGAACTATGACACATTAGGGGATGCTATGTGAGGAGATGAGGGGAGCGGGTAGACTGGGGAATGGAGGAGGAAGTTGGGAACCAATGGTAATTCAGTTCCTAATAGAAAGAGCCTGGGACCAGAATGAACAGATGCAAATAATGAAATGGATGACTCCAGGGGAACTGGCCGGCTGTGGTGTTTCAGCAGTAAAGGAATGATCTGAACGTCACACACGTAAATCAGTCATAGATACACAAGTAACTTCTAACTGCAAGAGAACTAGGCATGTGCTAGTGATGCAGGAAACAGCCTCTTCCTCGTCCTCTGCTTCCGTTTCTGCCTCCAGGCTCCTGCCTTGAGTTCCTGCCCTTGTTCCTCTTCATGAGGGACTGACTGTAGCTGTAAAATGGGGTCACTTTGTCTCTCCCCAAAAGGAAATAGGTGCCTCATCTAAACTTAGAATGGGAAAGGCCTAAAATTAAGACACAAAGAAAAGTATTGATGATGTCACTCTGAATATTTTTATATTCTTCACCTCAAAAAATGCCATTAGCAAAGTTGGACAGCAGGTGGCACAGCTGTTGAAACATCTGTAACTTGTAGAAAGCAACGGTGCTTCTTACCAGGCACTAGCTAACCAAGGTCTCACATCTGTTTCACTAGCCTCTCCTCAGATCACACCTAGCATAGGGTGCACACTTTAAAATTCTCTCTATATAAATGTATGCACCCCCAAAGTAGATAAAGAGTTCTCACAGTCAGGTTAAAAATAAACACAATGAACAAATAGTTTGTGAAAATTCAGTAAGAACTAGTCGATGTGGGGCTTAAAACTCATGAAGAAACCAAACCTAGTAAAACAATAATGGAATTTCTACCATATTGCAAAGGGTCTAGATTCTGAAGATTTTAATTTTTATTAATTAACTAATTAATTAATTAATTAAATTTTCCCAGTCCCATTGCAGTTTCCCTGACCTCCTACCCCAGTCCCTCCCTGCAACTTCCATCTCCCCACCCCCATCTACGCCACTTCTTTTCTCTTCAGAAAAGGTCAGGCTTTCCCCTGTATATCAGCCAGCTGTGGCATATCAAGTTGCAATAAGACTGGGCACCTCCTCTCCTATTAAGGCTGGATGAGTCAACACAGTAGAAGAAAAGGGTCCCAAAATCAGGTAACAGAGTCAGAGACAGCCCCTGCTCCCACTGTTAGGAGTCCCACAAGGAGACCAAGCTATACAACTGTAACATATATGCAAAGATTTTTATGTTTAATCTTGTAAAATGTATGGAAGGGTGGGTTTATGCAGTACCCTCAGAGGCCAGAAGAGGAAGCCAGATCCCCAGGAGCTGGAGTTACAGGCAGTTCTGAGTCACCCAACATGGGTGCTGGGAACAGAACTCAGGTCCTTTGTGAGAGCAGTACAAACTCTTAACCACTGAACCATCTTTCCAGGCCCAGATTTTAAGCCCTCATTAGATAGCAGGTGACCATTTAAAATCACAAAAGATTAACAACTGTATGTAATGTCATGTTTCAAAAAAATCACTTTATAAAGTACTATTGTAGTATTACAGCAATTTTGTAGACATCTAAGTTCTTATGTACATACTTACATGTATGATACTCTAAGATATTCAAATGCTACTTTATACAACATCTAAAGAAAGGAGGCTTGGATGGGATTTATACCACCTGATCTTCAACCTTGGTTCAATACATTTTCCCATCACACTGTTGAATAAACTTACTAACTACTCCCTTTTTTATAATGGGTGAAGTAGGCAGAATTATCACCACTGATGTCTGTCAGACATCTCTAGATGGCAAAATTAATGGTGAGGTGGACACAGTGTGAGACGTCTTCCTGGCACTCATTCTGGAACATTCTTATCATACTTGCAGGCAATGAGAATCCCAAACAATCAAAACTGGTCTTTCTGTCCCTTCTTTAATAAAAGTTCTCAGGCAGGAAAGAGCTTAATGACCACATGGGTGTGAAAGGCTAGTAAAGTGTGTGTCTTAAAATGGATATGTGGATACAAACCCATTTCCTAGTTCTGTATGTTGAGGGAGTCCTGGAGAAGCGACCCCGATGGCACCCAGATCATTCTTTCTAAACACCTTTCTCTATAAAAAAAAAAAAAATGGGGGGGGGGCAGTCTCCCTAGAGAGCTGTTTGTCTTGGGACTGGGAAAGGAGAAATAGAGCATGCACCTGAATCCTGGTTGGGGCAGATCAAACAGCTACAGGCATCGGCCTAGAGGAGTTCTAATAAGCCAAAACTAGGGCGAATTCATCAACAAAATAAAACGTGATAATATTGGATTGTCACCAACAACACATAACAGATGTCCACAAGTCCGAAGAACTAAATACATAAATAAAAGGAGATAGGCAGGACCTCTACAATTATTGGTAACCTACTTACAGAAAGCCTCAAGTGCCCCGTGGGAGTTAACTGTTGGCTGCCTTGTCCTAATTTAAAACAGCAACAGAACCATAGAGGACTTTTTAATCTCTGAGCTAAAACATTAACTTTTTAAAGGTAATACAGAATTGTCAGCAAACAAATACCATAGTGATCACTTTTGCTGTCAAGGTGTGTTGATAGACGACAACTCCTTAATCAAGTAATCAAGTAATCGCCCGTCACAAGACATAGCCACACCACGTACCTCCCTGACGGTGCACAGACATCATAGAACACCCATCACTTCTACAGAGTCTTGCCCAAGCTGAGGGACCAACCACAAAACAGCTGGCCAGCATCCCCATCATACGTGTCAAGGTCCTGGAAACACGAAGAACACACAGCTCAACGCAAAGTGCAATCTTGACTAGAAAAGCTTCAGTGGGAAAATGGATGAGATGTGGATAAACTCTATGGTTTAGCCAGTAATAGTGTAGCAATGTTAATTTCCTAGGTTTGATACTTTTTCTACGGTTTTACAAGTTTTAATATTAAGGAGAACTGGGTAAAAGGTATACATGAGCCCTCTGTATTAGTTTTACAACTTTTCTATAAGTTTAAAATTATTAATTATAAGTTTAGAGAAAACCTCAAGTATCCTGTCAACAATCCTTATGTTGGCTATTTTTTTCTTAACTTAAAATAGCAACAGAACCCGCAAGAGTGTTTAAAAGGCTAGTCTAAATCATTCATTTACCTTTTAAGTCAGAATAATGCTTCATTGTCTCAGTCTGTGAATGGGGAATTCAATGCGGTCCCTCCCTGAGGACAAAGCAAGAAGAGGTAACCGCCCAAGACATCTGAAGGCAAGGAGGAGTCCCCCACTTTCTCTGAGGAGGAAGTTTCATCCTGACCTCTAGCTCCTATTCATCTATTTAAAACAGTCCTCTTAGTCACTCTGGTTGGCAAGGGGAACCCTAAAACATCCTAAATTCTGTCCCCTAAGAAGGTGTGACCTCATGGTCCCAACAGTGTGTGCCTCCATGTCCCCTTCCAGGAGATGATGGACATAGTCAAAGCCATCTATGACATGATGGGGAAATACACCTATCCTGTGCTCAAAGAAGACACTCCCAGGCAGCATGTGGACGTCTTCTTCCAGGTACGTATGCACCTGCGCAAGTCTTATACTGATGGACCAGGAGATGCTCCTGTGAGGCAGACCAGTATATATTACAGAAGACAGCGGAGAGCATGTTATCATGAACTATAAATGGTAGATTCCATAAAAATTCTCGCAGGACCTGAGTAGAGAAGACGTCATTCATTGCATCTGTGTATTTACTGAGCACATTTGTCTGGGCTGCAAAGGGGAATAAGAAACTAGGGTAAGCCAGGCTGCAAGATCCTTAAGTGGAGGAGCTCAACCTTGGTCTAGTAAAGGATGGGTGCACACTGCTGATGACTGGGTGGAGAAGTGGCATCCTTAATTTAAAAAAAAATTCTTGCGAGCTTGTTTGGAGGTTCTAGCAGGGGAGCGCAGCTACTCGTATACCCTTGACCGAAGACCGGTCCTCCTCTATTCGGGGAAGGTCGTCCTCTTCGACCGAGCGCGCAGCTTCGGGAGGGACGCACATGGAGCGGTGAGGGAGGAAGGGGACACCCGCCTAGCCAGCCAGATCAGCCGAATCAACCCTGGCGATCAATGGGGTGACAGATGTCGCAGCCAGATCGCCCTCGGTGGCGCACGCCTTTAATCCCAGCACTCGGGAGGCAGAGCCAGGCGGATCTCTGTGAGTTCGAGGCCAGCCTGGACTACCGAGTGAGTTCCAGGAAAGGCGCAAAGCTACACAGAGAAACCCTGTCTCGAAAAACCAAAAAAAAAAAAAAAAATTCTTGCAATATAGAGTACTAAAAAAAATTAGATTGGGGCTGGAGAGATGGCTCAGTGGTTAAGAACACTGGCTGCTCTTCCAGAGGTCCTAAGTTCGATTCCCAGCAACCACATGGTGGCTCACAGCCATCTGTAATGGGATCTGATGCCCTCTTCTGATATACAGTCATACACACAGATAGAGCACTCACAAATAAAATAAATAAATCTTAAATTAAAAAAATAAGTCAGCTCACTCTAACCCAAGCCTCCCACTTTGCAGCAAGGAAAAGAGATCTCTCCAATATCTTGAAAGTTTGCCCAGAAAATCTACAGAGATGGACCAGAACCTTCTGTACCCAGTGTTCTTTCTGCCAGATAGAGAGACCAGTGAAAAGTGTGTGGGACACATGTGCTCTGGCTTGAGTGTATGACCAAGGTTCATGGAAGCCTAGTCCTCAGCGTGGCAGTGTTTAAGGTCATGGAATCTTTAATGGGTGGGGCCTGATGGGAGGGGACTAGGTCCTTGGGAGCATTGCCTCAGAGATTGCTGTAGTTACCACAAGCCTGAGTTGAATGAGCAAGTCGGGCCTCTCCTCATTCTCTGGCTTCCTGTTTTGTTGTGTGACCTCTTCCACATGTGCCCAATAAAATGATGGCATCCTTCATGGGGCTCTCACCAGACAGAAACTGGTGTCATGCTCTTAAACCTCTAGAACAATAAGAAAAAGAAGCCTCTTTACTTAATACAGCACCCAGCCTCAGTTATTTTATTGTAATAACAGAAACAGACTACTACATGTTGAGATGTCAGCATAATAACAATGTAGCAATGAGGTAAGTGTTGGGACCAATCTTTTGATGTAAGGAAGCTCATGAGGACCATAATACTATAATCAAGAACCAACTAGTTAGCAAAAGACCATCCTAATTCTGGAGTAAACAGAGAGAAAAATCTGAAATGTGAAATTCCAGGTTCTTTAGAGACTCCTCTCTTGTGTCTTTCAGAAAATGGATAAAAATAAAGATGGCATCGTAACTTTAGATGAATTTCTTGAATCCTGTCAGGAGGTAAGGACAGATCTTGGGACACAATTGCTCTGGGATAGGGAATCTGGGATGTGGAGACTGTAGAGGAAGGATCTGAAATCTTCACACACCTGCAGTCCCTGGACTCAGAAGCCCAACATCTCCACACCCCAGCCTGGCCTGCTCAGCACAGGCCTGAGCAGAGAGATGAAGCATAGGTTTGGGAGGTGTGAAGGCCCAGAAGGTCTTCATGGAATGAGATGTGCCAAATAGGTAGCCCTCTCCTTTCCACTGCCTCTGAATAGGTAGCCCTCTCCTTTCCACTGCCTCTGTGCCTGTTCCTCAGATAGAGAGGAACAATTGGAAGACCTTCAGCAAGATTCTCAATCCAGTGGACAGAATTGCCTGAAGTTCTTCCAAAAGTGTACTTGCAAACTACAACCCCAGAAGCTCTAGAAGGGTCTAGAAACTGCCATCATAATTCAAATGCTCAGTTCCAAGGCTGCTAGAGTGAATGTAAAGAACAGACTCCTTGAAGCTTTTGTTAAAATACGGGTGGGGCCTGCACAGGTCTGAGGCCAGGCTCACCTTGTACACACTCCTTAGGAAACACTGTGGTACTGTTCCTTGGGCTGTGCTTTGGTTAAGTCTCAGGAAGAACTTGACACCAATGCCGCTGCTGGGCACTGAACTGGAAACAGCTGCTTCATCTACTTGAAAGGTTTATAGTCCACCTCGTTTCACAAAAGCACAGCCTAAGCTCGCCCTAACACAAAGAGCGCTAATCAAGCTTCAGCCACATGAAAACTCTCCAGGCAGATGTCCCACATGACAGTGTTCCAGACAGTTAGCAATTAGGACAGGATCAACACTGACCTTTTCTTTTGTTTGTTTTTTGAGACAGGGTTTCTCTGTGTAGCCCTGGCTGTCCTGGAACTCGCTCTGTAGACCAGGCTGGCCTCGAACTCACAGAGCGCTGGGATTAAAGACAAGCGCCACCACCTCCCAGCTCGACACTGACCTCTTTTAACTGACCCTGACCATTGTCCTAGAGTGTCCCCATTGAGCTTGCTGTTCACCAGTTAGTTGTCTGGGGATCCCAAGGAACTAGGTAGCCAGAAGGAAGGATGCTGAGGTGGAGAACAGAGTCGGGTCAGCCGCTTCACCTGTGGAGTTAGAAATACTTTAATATTCAATCATTATGAACAGGCTAAGCATCTATGTCTGTCACACCCATTTCAAGCAGAGAAAACTGGGGCACTACAAGGTTAAGAGGTGTGGCTAATGCTACAACGAGGGACAGAGATGGGTTTTAAACTCTGTCATACCAATGGCAAACACCATGCCTGAGAAGTGCTCTTTCTTTACTTTGCTTTCCAGGTGAGAGAACTGTTCGAACCTTGTTCCTCACACAAGCACCTTCCACAGTCACTCTTCATATAATTCGTGTTTTTCACCACCTCACAATAGGGGGATATTATACTCAAGCCCACTCTATACCCAGGGGAACTAAGACCCAGACAGGTTAAGTACCACAGGCAGGAAGTAAGAGCTGCCGGGCTTGAACACACAAGCTGCCTGACTCCAGACCCACAGCAACTTACAAAGACTCAGATCCTCACAACCGACCTTGTCACTCTTGATTTTTCTCTATCACAAGTCTGCTTCCTCAGCCTTAAACCCCGTGACACATGCACACACTCACACACATACACAGTCAATTTCCTTGAATACTACGTTAGCCAAGTATTGCTTTACATCTCACAAAGTTTAATGTTTTGTATTTTCACTATATTTTAACTCAAAATGTAGAAGTGTAGTACTTAGTATGCAAAGATTTAAAAACTTTATACCTTCAATATTTATACCTTAGAAAGCTGGGCATGGTAGTGCACACCTTTAATCCCAGCACTCGGGAGGCAGGGCGGGCAGATCTCTGTGAGTTCGAGGCCAGCCTGGTCTACAGAGCAAGTTCCAGGACAGCCATTCTACATAGAGAAACCTTGTCTCAAAAACAAAACAAAACAAACTAAAAATTGCTTACCAAGGCTGAGTTAAAAAGAGAAATATTTTTAAATCCTCAAATTGCTGATATCAGAAGTAAAAAATAATAACATCTACTATCAGTTTTACTGATTTTAAAAGATAATTATTTATTCTTCAATAAATTCAACAATTGAATTCCTTACAAAGCACAGCTTATCAAAACTTAACAAAAAGAAAACAAAAATGTAAATAACCCTGTCTCAAAGACTTGGAATCTGTAATTTAAAACTTTACCCCAGGGAAAATGACAGGCTTAAATAGCTTGTTCATGGTGCATTCTTGCAAACTTTTAAGGAAGAAAGGATACTAACCTCAAGGAACAGAGAATAAAAGAGGACCACCCCAGCGTGATTGATGAGGCTATCATAACCCTAAGATGAGAAGTTGCAAGGTTGGTTTAACATTCAAGAATTAGGCCGGGCGGTGGTGGCGCACGCCTTTAATCCCAGCACTCGGGAGGCAGAGCCAGGCGGATCTCTGTGAGTTCGAGGCCAGCCTGGGCTACCAAGTGAGTTCCAGGAAAAGGCGCAAAGCTACACAGAGAAACCCTGTCTCGAAAAACCAAAAAAAAAAAAAGAATTAGTCAATATAATTAATCACGATAATGGAATAAACAGGAAAAGCTGTGATCATCTCCACAGATGTGGAAAATCATTTCATACACCACATTGACAGAGCATCTTAAAGAAACACAACGCATTGATCCACTGGATTGTTTTTCTCTCCTGAATGCCGAAGTGTGAGCTAGATCTTTGCCTCTTGTGTGCCTTGTTTGTGAGGCTGCCGCGGATTTCCCTTAGCACGGGAGCCCCACTCCTGAGATTTGCTCGAGTCCTGAGCTCCCAGGCAGGAGCCTCCGACAGCTCTAACCGTCTTCTCTCCCACCGCTCTCTCCCCAGGATGACAACATCATGAGATCTCTACAGCTGTTCCAAAACGTCATGTGACTAAGGACTCTCGCCATCCTGCCCTCAGAGACACTGAACAAACACCTCTATGCCCTGATCTGCCCTCGTTCTGACTTTACACACCAACTCTTGGGACAGAAATACCTTTTACACTTTGGAAGACTTCTCTGCTGAAGACTTTCTACAAAACCTGGAATCATGTGGCTCAGTCTCTGAGTGCCCACTCTTTTCTCCTCACTCCTCTTGAGAGAGACGAGATGAAACCTGAGTTTGTTTCGGAAGCATGCCCATCTCTTCATGCTGCTGCCCTGTGGAAGGCCCCTCTGCTTGAGCTTAAACAGTAGTGCACAATTTTATGCTTACATGTCCCCAACTCACTGCCTCCAAGGCAGGCAGACCCCTATGAATCTGTAAGCCAGAGGACCTGAGCCAAATGTCCACCATCCTCTGATGGCCTCCCAAGCCAATGTGCCTGTTTCTCTTCCTCTGGGGGAAGAAAGAGTGTTCTACAGAACAATTAGAGTTTATCATGATAAGATTGGGAGAGGCAGCACCTAACACATGTAGAATAGGACCGAATTAATAAGCATGGTGTCGTCAGATGACCCAAACTGCCCATGTCTTTTGTTTCCAGAGGTAGGAACTAATAATTCTCTCACACTAGCATCTGTGCTTATAGAGCAAGTCTCTTCACATGTCCAGGAGGAGGACCGCTGCCCAGTGGTCTATCCCTCCTCTCCATCCCCTGCTCAAGCCCGGCACTGCATGTCCCTCCCAGAAAGTCCAGAATGCCTGCGAAATGCTGTACTTTTATACCCTGTTCTAATCAATAAACAGAACTATTTCGTACACTCTCAATCATTTCTTCCATGACTCCGTTGCTCAGGAGAGGTAAGTTATGACAAGGGATGGATGATTAGTCCATCCATTCGGCCTTGGGGTGCTAATAGTCTCTTGGTACCATCATAATAGTACCATCATGCTAAGACCATCCTCAGTGGCATTCCATTCAAATGCAGATACTGTGATCATACACAACTGCAACTTGAAGACAAAGCCTTTCAGAACACCTCCTGTTCTAACAAGATTGCCCCTCCCAAGACTCCAAGATGGAGAGCCCAGAGCCCCGTGTGGTGCAGGTGAGGATACAGAGCTGAAAAGAAGGACAAGGTCTCTCTGCTGATGGTGTGGAGTCCAAAGACTGATCAGGGGGTTTCATCTTATAATGATAAAATGATTACTTGGGTTCAGCATCATGTATCTTAGTTTTCCCAGTGATATCACACTAAAAATTTCTAACAAGAACATCCTTGAAAAGATTTAAGGAAGCATTATTATCTGTCAAGGGCTGTATTACAAGTGTTATAGGCATTTTCTTATTTCATGCTCATGGTAGAACATTCCAGAAGTCAATTCTTGGTTTTATTTTTGAGGACCCCGAAGCTCAGAGGGGTAAGGGGATCTTCCTCATACGGCACTCCCAGTCTGTGAGGGGATTCCTCTTGATCCAAGAAACTGGGAGCATTTCCCAGAAATCTCAGTCATTTGTAATCAGCTAAGGGAGATATAGTGTCAAAGTTTATTCTCTGTTACAGTGAAAAACACCATGACCAAAAGCAACTTGGGAAGAAAAGGTGTTATTTCATCTTGCACTTCACAGTCTATCATCAGGGGATGCCCGAGCAGACACCATGAAGGAGTGTTGCTTGCTGGTTTGTTTGCTAGCTCACTCAGGAGCTCAAGCTCAGCTGCCTTTCTTCAACAGTCCAGGCCCGCTTGTCTAAGGATGGTATCATGGGCAGTGAGCTAGCCCCTTCCACATCAATTAGCAGTCAAGGAAATGTCCCCAGGGGCATGCCGTAGGCCAATCGAGTGGAGGCAGCTCTTCAACTGAGATTACCTTTGCCCAAGTATGTCTAGCTTTGTGTCAAATTGACAAAACCATGGCACATGGATAGTCTTCAGAGTCACTTATCAAATGAGGAAGCTGTCAGACAGGATACATTGAGCAGCTGTGGACCTATCACAGGGACAGGCCACCACAGCACCTGTGTGCGTGAGTTACTCCCAGTGTGGTGGCCACTGGCTATTCCCTTTCACAGTTGGGAACTGTTTGGTCCACAGCTTTGTTCCTCTATTTGAGTGTCTTAAGTGCAGTCATATGACCCTATAAGACTGCTAGACGTGTGACCTGTCCCCAATCAGGCATCCTCCTGGACCCAAGCTAAGCATCTACACTCATGGCCCTTCTTCTGTGGTCCACGCTGCGTCACTAAGCCGTGTGAAGTCTGGGCCAGTGGTTCTCTGCCCTAGCTGCACCTCAGAGCCACCTGGGGAACTTATAAAAACTACCAATGCCTGTGCCCCACCCAATGTCAAAGAATAATCTCTGAAGATGAGGCCTGGACATCAGCATATCTAGACACTACCCAGAAAGTAGTGTGCATACTGTACTAAGATGAGAAACTGACCATATCCATTGCTAGAGTGGAACTTATGACCTGAGTCACTCATGGCCATAACAACTGAGTCATGGTGGAATGAAGCCTAGGGTAGCTCAAACAGTTTAAATCTCAAAACTTGTGCTGGGAATAACAGGACAAGGATATTCTCTCTTCTGGGCATCTAAAGGAAGGAATGTGCCCTAGGGTGTGCTAGTAACTATTTAGGAATTCCAAATATTTTTCTGCCAACCAAAGGGCTAATGAAGCTAATACCAATCATACAAGGCAAGGTAGAAGTATAGTAATAAAAGAAATTGAGCCCCTAATGACATCATAAACCACCAAATCAAGCTGGTCATGAAGCTAGACAATTTGACCTTCAAAGATGTTTGCATTAGATGCTGGTGTAGTGAGCATTTCATACTATATCATAATCTCCTAGGGAGCAGAGAAGGGGGCACTTTTTGAAATGCGGAATCATTATCCCAGATGGACTGGGTCAGGACCTCTAATGGTGCCCTGAGCACAGGCTGCTTTACAGCTCTCCAGGCTACACCACTGTGCACCTGAGGTTGAAGCTCCACTCTAGGCTAAAGGAAGGGTTGGTACCTTTATCCCTGTGTTAACTAGGCCACACATCAGAAGCTAGAGTGAGTCCTGAGCATCCTTGGGATAGAAACCACAGTGGAAAGATTCAAAACATTCTTCGGATTACTAATCAGACAGAAGGAAAAGGCCGTCCTGGGTTGGCAGCATATTGTGACACTGAGAGCACAAGGTCTGTCTCAAGCGTGTCTTCCTGAGCCACCCAAAAATGGTCACCATTTGCCAGTCAGCTGTGTAATAGATATGGTGATTGCCTCATCCATATTCCCATTCCCTCGGCACTCACCATCACTGTGCAGGTGGGCTCAACTGCTACCAACTGCAAGTGCCAAGACTTAGTGCTGTGTCTCTGGCACAGACACACTCTGGCCATGAGAGTCCCACTCTGCCTGTGGGCAGGGCAGGGTAGAATAAATAGGTCATCGATGTCTGTAATGAGAGGTCCTAGCCCCATGACCATTGGGAGTCGGCAGATTAATACCCCACATCCTTCCCCCCTCAGTAGGGGATCTGGAGGTCTCTTCTGTCTCCTAGCATCCTCAGTAACACTGCCCTCAATTTCCCACAGTAGTAACCTACAATCAATCAGATAGATATGTGTCCTGCTTTCATGAGCCTTATATTCTAGTGGGAGGAAATGTAACAAAATGATTTTCAATGAAGAGAGTAAGACTGTATCATGATAGAGGTAAGAGTGGATACTTTATACAGGGTAGGAAATGATATGCCTCTGAAGAGCAGATAGCTTGGCTTGACATTATCTCCAGCTAAGAAATCCTCTATGCACATATTTTGAGTCTTGCTATGGCTTGGATATGTCTTGAATGTGCCCCAACACACACCCAAATAATTGTATGTTGGGACTGTGGTCTTACTACAGAAATATCAGGTGGCGTTAGAGCATTTAAGATGTGGGAAGGGTGGTTCAGGATAACTAGGTCACTAGCTAGCTGTGCTGCTCTTGGAAAGAGTTTATGTACTTCTCACAGGACTTTAGTTGGTTCTTGAGACAGATTTGTTATAGAAGAGCAAGCCTGACTGCTCTCCACGCTCTGCCTTCTGGTCTTATTATGTGATCTTTCCCACCATGATGCCATCTGCCATTGGAGCCTCGCTATAGAAAGTGAACCAAAGAGGCTTCCCAACTTGGGACTTTCAGCCTTCAAAACTATAATCTAAACAAATCTCTTTTCTCTAGGAAGGACTCAGCCTACAAGGCTTCGTTACAGGACCAGAAAGCGAACCAGCACAAGCTCCGTAGCAGCCCTGTGAGCCAGGGATCCCAGGAATCTGTTTTGCAGATGAAGAGACAATTCCTGGAAACACTCACATAGCTGGAAGTGGGTTTAGCCAACCTCTAAAATCCACACCAGTTTCATTTCCAAGAGAAGCTGGAGCTCAGTCCTGGCTTTAATGGCACACAAACACCAGAAGGTGTTGGAAAGCAGCTGCTGTGAAAGCTACAAGCACAAACAGCCACAAAAAAGTTCATCAATCCAAACCAAAGCACTCCTCCTCTACAGGAAATGAAGCCAAGAAGCCAAGAACACATGCAAAGACAGTCATATGTTTCTCAGAGAAGCTAAAACTAAGCATCCTTCCACATCAAAACTAGGACCAGCTCAACTGGCAGATTGCAACAAGCTTTGTGCTCTAAGTCTAAAACTGGGAGCTGGGGACACCCTGAAGCCAGCCAACTCCAGTGGGTGGGACTTGGAAGACCCAAAAAATGCTGGGGCGATGGCTACGCTCCTGTTCTAAGAAGCTTACTTGCATGTTCTTTCGTGAAGCACATGCAAGTAGACTAAACCAACCATCACCTCCCATACCCATGGCAGCAGGGATTGGCTTGGGAATAGACTGAAAAAGAGAAACCAATTTCAATGTCAACAGTGTCAGGGCTTTTGAGCAGAACAGTGAAATGATGTTCATGTTTCGGCTGGACAATGTAAAATACACAATCTACAACTGACCATTTTGTAATCTGAAGGGAAGCCAACACATAGGTCAACATGTGTCACAGAAATAAAGGCAGAGAGATGAGGAGAAGTGGTCTCTTTCTTGTTTGTTTATTTTTTGAGACAGGGTCTCACTGTGTTCTCTGGCTAACCTGGAGCTTGCTATGTAGTCCAGGATGGCCTCAAACTTACAGAGATCCACTTGTCTCTGCCTCCGCCGAGTGCAGGGATTAAAGGTGTGTGCAACCATGCCCTGTGAGGAGTGGACTCTTGATCATGTCACTGAATTGCTATCACAAGCTTCATGTGATGCTACATACACCTCTAGTGTTTTGGGGAACATGCATCAACAAATACTAACAAATTCCTTTTTCACTGCTTTAGAAAGTTTACTTGGGCTGGTTTTTTGGAACGCATTCCCTATGGTGGGACACCTTGCACAGCCTTGATGCAGGGGGAGGGGCTTGGACCTGCCTGGACTGAATGTACCAGATTTTGCTAACTCCCCATGGGAGGCCTTACCTTTATGGAGGAGGGGATGGAGGGTTAGGGGGAAAGGCTGGAGTAGGGAGCAGGAGAAGGGATTAGAGGGTGATCTGTGGTTGGTATGTAAAATGAATAAAAAACTTCTTAATAAAGAAGGAAGTTTACTTGGATCTTCTGTAATCTACATCTTGGTTTATGCTGTCTGTAATGGTTAGTTTTAATTATCAACCTGAAAAAACCTAGAATCACCTAAGAAAGAATCTCCATGAGTTATTGTGTAGATCAGGTTGGTCTATGGGCATGTCTATGGGGGATTATCTTGGTGACATTGAGGTAGAAACACCTACTTACTACGAGTGGCATC